AATTTGAATTTCTGAGAATTCGTTCACTAATTAAATTAGTAAAAATTTCTACCAATTTTTAATCATTTTTCACTAAAACACTAAAATTTTAGTAAAAAAAAAAAGATTACTAAATGAAATAGTAATATTTTACTGAAAATTAGTAAAAATTTCTACAAATTTGAATTAGTAAACGAATTCTCATTAATTCAAATTTAGAGATTACACTACTTAGCAGATAATAAAAAATAAAAGCATGAATGAACGAATTTTTTTTTTAATTCCTCGATAAATTGCTCTTTTTGCAATAATTAAAATGTAATGCACGGATTAATATTTACAACTATATCGAATGTAAAAAATATATAGACCGAAAAAATTATGAAATAGGAAACTAAATTAATTTTTTGTACTATATTTACGTATATTTTTAAATGTTACATATATAAATAAATTTACCTTGTATTAAATATTATCCTAATACAGTATTAAAATTTTATTTGCTTGTTAAATAGTTTTTTTTTTTAATTTTTCATTCGTTTGGAGTTACATCATTCATTTGTAAAAATCCAATTACAAAAATTACTTTAAAATTTTAGAATAATAATTATAAAATAATAATTGTAATATAATTTTATTTTTCTCGTAATGCAGTTTCATCAGAGACATACATCTTTTTTTAAAGTAATTTTATTGATCATATGCAGCCATAAATTTGGGCCTTATTTCAGCATAAATTTTATAGATCGGGTTGCTATCAATTTTAGGACGCGTCTATCTTTTTACGACCGTCACAAGCGAATTGACCCCTATTTTATGAAAATTTCTAGCAGACGTGATGGAAACGTGGATTGAAAATTTTCCTTTTTTTTCTTTTTCATTAAATTAAAAAAAAAAAAAATTGAAATCGTACTTTCTTAATTTCAATCAGTGATAAATATATCAATCAGTGAAATTCCACTGATTAAACTTTAAAAAAAATCAAACAGCTGATAAAATAATAAACTAAATTCAATAAAGAGTAAAAAAAATATTTTAAAATATAATAAAAAATTACCTACTATAATAAAAAAAAATTAAAAATAAAACACAAAGAATAATGTTTATAAAAATAATAAAGAAATTATGATTTAAAATATGATGAGAATAAAATGTGAAATATCAGAAGAAAGTCCCGAGTCAGATTTAAAAAATATCACATGTGTCTTAGCCACGTGTAAGAGAAACGTTGCCATTTGTCAGACGATAAAATTGGAGCATCACATTGAAATTTCGAACACGAAATTGAAAATTGCCAATGACAATTTTCTAAGATTATAAGATATACTTTTTCTAAACATAAATTTTCGCCAAAGCTAGTATTTTGTTTCTAGCTCATATATTTAAAGTCCTAAAGAAATTTATAACCCCCAAGGATTTCTTTTCCTAAAGCTCGCGCATGCTATACCGAAGTATATAATACGAAAAAGTTGCAGCAAACTGTTATCGTAAGTCAGTTGACGTGGAATTTTTTTTTTTTTTAGAGAAACAAAGACACAAAAAACTCTCATATTTAAAAAAAAGAATTAAATCAATTTTTTTTTTGAAAAATAAATTTTAATCGTCTGCTGTTTTTTTTTTTTTTTCTTAAATTTTTTTATCTTTAAACTAAAGTACGTTATCCCTTTTTCTTATGCTATATACCCATCTTGTGTTCCCTCTACACGAAGCGGTTTTTCATTTTAAAAGGGATTTCATCCGCGGAACGAGGTTCGCTATCGCCTGCTTCAAGCGATAGCTTTACGCGGGAAAGTGTGCACTTGAATCTGCCTCCGGGGTTACTTGGGGATTTTCAAGGGGAAACTCCTGACGTGGTGTAGTATCAAGCTTTGGAAAATCCTCGAATCCTCGCGTCTTATGAATTCTTTCACCTTTGCTCTTCAGTAACTTTATCGCTTTTTCTCCCTGGGTCTTTGATGCCGCCAGAGTCTCTTCTTATTTGTGCACGACTATTTTTCCAAGACTTTAATTAAACCCATGGAATTTAAATATTTATACACTTTATTAAATATCATTTTTATTGCAAATACAAACTGCTCTTGTTTATTCATATTGAAAAATAAAGATTAATATTCGATAAACTTGAAGATCAAAAATTAACATAAAAATTAATTCATTCATTAAAAATTGATAAATCAATTGAGAGTATACAAAGAAATTCAAATTTATTTGAGCAGAAAATTTATTTGTAAAAAATTTCTTGATTATATTAAAATAGAACATGAGAAGAAAAAAAGATAAAATTATAAATATTCTCCCGAGGGGAGGAAGTTTTTTAGAAAATTTTTCTTTACAAAAAAAAAAAAAAAAAAAAAACAAATTTATTTCTTTTAATCTTTTAAGCTCCACTTTTATTGAAGTTGACATTTGCTCTAATTTGCATCCTTTTATATTCAAAAGCACTTTAAATTTGAAAGCTCTTTCAACAGCTACTACTACTCCTACTCAAATATCAAAGCTATTGAACTTGAAAGCAATATCATAACTCTATGCAACTTATTTTATTCTCTTCTTTGTTTATTTTGTCGCCATGTGTTTTTTTTTATTTCTCTATATATAGATTATTCTATAATCCTCCTTTTTAAAAAATAATATATTTCTCCAATGTTTTTAAATAAAACCAAACCAACATAATTTGAATAAAAAGAATTTCAACAAAGAACCTATATATATTCAAAACTGAAAAAAGAAATTTTTTTTTAGAGAATTAAATGATGAAAAATATTTTTTTCAAAAAGTAACATCTTTTTTTTTATAATAAGAAGTATATAATTTCAAAGGATTTTTTTATACATTTTATTTTTAATATTAATTGGGAAAAATTTATAAATTTGCAAAAACAGAATTTAAAAATTAGTTAAAATTTGCTATATAAACAATCTAATTTTAAAAAAAAAGAAGATTAATTTTTCACGAGAGTGAAAGAATGATAAAAGTAATTGAGCGTTCGAGAGAGAGAGAGAGAGTGAAAGAGAGAGTGGGAGGGGGGAAGGTGACATTACTTTAGGGAGAATGTTTTTCGGAAAGCTTTTGAAAGAAAGGAAATTTCCTCTCCCTGAGGTAAGTTTATGGGGCGTCGTCTCGCGGACAGTTTTCCACAACGACTTTTCATCCCATGCGACGCAATTACACGAAGGAAGAGAATAGCAGCGACAAAAGGAGTGGGTGAAAAGTTTAAGTTGTCGAGGAATGAAAGGGGATGAGGAGCGATTTTACCAGTCGCGTTTACACCCAAAGTCTGCTACTTTAGAGTATAAGCCCCGTAGGATCGTAAACTCGACTCACGGGTACCAAAAACCTCTTCGACATTTGTGTCCGATATCGCGAGAGCTCCTTTCTCTCTCTCTCTCTCTCTCTCTCTTGGCAATCTGATCCTGAAACCCCGTTAACCCCATTTTCGAACTCGAAGGAAATGAAGGAGATGTGAAGGCAAGACCCTCTTATGATTACAAAAATCTATTTACTCACTTATATACACGAAAAATATCCTTGCATCTACTTTCGAAAATTCCTCAATTTACGAGCAATATACCACTTTAGAATTTCATTTTCCCCGACGTATATATATATATATATATATTTTCCTTTACAGATCTCAAATTTATTAGAATTTTTAACATTTTATTCAAAATTTGTTTTCATTCCATTTTCCGTTATGCCAACAATAAACACTCAACCAAATAGTTTGGTTGCTTAAATACCAACAAAATTGTTTTATTATCAAATTTTGGTTGCTGAGACAAAAAATTTTTCTCAGTATACTCACTAAATTTGAATTAGTGAGAATTCGTTCACTAATTCAAATTAGTAGAAATTTTTAGTAAAATATTACTATTTGATTTAGTTAATTTTTTTTAACTAGAAAAATTTATATGTTCAATTACAATTTATTTAATTAAAATAAAAAAATTATTTGGTTCAAGTAAATATTTATTTATAGTCAAGTAAGCAATTATTTGAATCAAATAAATTTTGTTTTCAGTATACATATATTTCTGATACTTCTAAAACTTTTACTTTGTAAAAAAATTTTATATTTCTTATACAAACTTTTATACTTATATAATAGAAGAAAATTTGTCTGTGGTAACAATATAATTAATCATATGTTGTTATGTATATTTGTATTGTATATATACTATACATGTCAAACGTAAACCTCAACTGACGAAATAGAAAAAAAAAACTGGCTTTGGGGGAAAAAAAAGGTTTTTCCTGAAATCGTCGTTTTACAATATTCATCAAATTTTTATCTTTCATCTATTCGACACGTTGAAAGCACGTTCAGCGAAAATGTGATTGACGTCAAACGAAAATGGCCATTATGATTGCAATAACTGACAGATATGAATGTGTGAAAGCATTCAGTTACAATCTTCTTTTAATCAGCTTCCCTTCCCCCCCCCCTCTCCACGCCCCCTTGCCTATCACCTCCGAAAAAAAGTTTTTAAATCGACTTTTCTACTCGACAATATTTTATCCCTGATAACTCTTTAAGTCTTTTATTGAAATTCATCTTCTCAATGACTTCAGTAAAGTATATTTTTCAAAAAGTCTATACTAAAAATTATATATATATATATGCATGTCAATTAAACTTTAAATTCTTTTATTATTATATTATATAAATATATATTCGACTATAATAATTCAATTTATTTTGCACGAAAATTATAAAATTCTTATATACTTTTGAAAAATCATATAAAAATAAATGAAAAGTAAAAATATTTTTGGAAAAAATTTCTATTTTTTGTTTTCTAGTAAAATGAAATAAACAATATTTAGCCCTATAATTTTTTATTTTATGTTAAATTTTTTTTCTCGAAATGTTTATTAATAAAAAGATTCTTGAAATATATGGGAAATAATTTTTAATATGTATATAATAAATATATTTATTGTGATATTATTTTGAAATTGTCAATGAAGATAATGCGATTTCTGTTTATATTTAATTGAATTTTATTTATTTATTTCAGCTAACGCAAAACCGCTGACATTCGATGAGGTCTACAATCAAAGCAGTCCGACCAATTGTACCGTTTATTGTGGAGGATTGACCAATGGTCTAACAGAGGAGCTTATGACGAAAACATTCTCGCCATTTGGCTCCATTCAAGAAATTCGTGTTTTCAAAGACAAAGGATACGCTTTCATTAGGTGAGTCTAAATTTTAATTTATATTTTACAAAAATTTCACGAAAAAAATACGTACCTATACTAAGTAAATATTAAATACATTTCAATAAGTTGATTATAAACAATAAAGCATTATAAAAGCATATTTTTAAAAGTGAATTGAATTTTTAATTCTGTATTTAAAATAATAATAATAATAAATTTTACGATCGTGTTTAATTAAAAGTTACAATTTTTTTTATCAACATTCATAAAATGAATTTTAACTAAAATCTGTCACATTACGAGGTGATTATATTAAATAAACTTGTTGATGAAAAATTGACAAAATATATCGAACAATCAGTCTAAAAGTAATATTGTCTGACTCTATGTTGACCTGTTCCACTTCATTAAGTTGAATCGATAAAATTCATTAATTTCAAATAAATATAATTTTATCTTACAATTAAAGGAGATTTATTTGTCAAATGATAATTGTCGGATTATAAATACTGACTTATACTACTATATTTAATGTGTCTATAATAATTGATTACTTCAGAGACAAATCTCATTAACTTTAATTAATATCAAATGACTACTGATGACAATTTTGATGAGTATCTATGTCGTACTATTTGTCGACTTATACTACTTAAACTGTAATATATACTACAACATTTAAATAAGGATATTAATTTTTATATATCTACAGCAAATGTTATTCATTACTTTTCTTCATTTGGTTTATTTTTTTATTTAATAGCTGCACTATTAATTTTTTTTAGTAATATTATAATTATTACAAATAATATTCGTAATAGAATAATAAAAAATTTGTATATAATATATTATTTAATTATAAATAATAATTGTTTGTCAATTTATTGGATTAATTAAAGTCAGTTGCCTGACTATACATTCAGCTGTACTACTTGAAATGAAATCTACTTTCGGACTTTAACATCCATATGATTAATGAAATGTCTGACTATATATACAAGAAACTACATTTTAAAATAACAGTTGCAGTAAAAAAAAGTTTTTTTAAAACTACGATGTCTGATCAAATGTTGACTAATACTACTTGAATTATAATATGTCTTCAAAGTTACTGCTCAAAAGTATTAATAATTTTCATAAATTCTATCAATTAAACTAAAATTTTTTTGTTCCGTCTGCAAAATTTGTATTATTATTCCAATCACACTTTAGTTGGCACAACCAAAAATTCACTCAGAAAAAAGATATGTGTGAACCAAATGTACCATTTTTTTATATTTACCCAATTTTGTTGGTTAGTTCAAACAAAATTTGTTTAATTCAAATAAATATTTATTTGATCTAAATAACTGTTTAGTTTATTTTAATAAATTTTTTGAACGAAGAAAAAATTTGATTGTGCTAAATAAACGTTTGGTTTATGCAACCAAATGTTTGGTTAACTGTATATCAATGCATTTATTTTGTTGATTTAACCAAAATTTGGTTGATTCAAACGAATTTTTTTCTGAGTGTTTGGTTGACACAACCAAATAGGAAAAATAAAGGAATTTTGTTATCTTAATCAAAGTATGGTTGTGCTAAATATTGATTGGAAATAATCAAAATTTTGGTTGTAATTAACCAACATATTTTGTTATCAACTCATACCTTTATTCTTAATGTAAAATAAAATTTATATTCGAAAATAATAATAGCAAAATAAATTGGAATAGAAGATAAAGAAAAGTGTAAAAATAGAAAATTCGCATAAAAATAAAATGAAATTTTTTTTTTCAATTTAAAAATCGAAATGTTAATACATATATTTGGAATAGATCATCGTCAGGATGTTGTAATCACCTTTCGTTGCTGATAAGAGACGTTATCTTCATCACGACGACAGACTGACTCTCCTGTTGTAAATCCCAATGGATTTGAGAGACTCGCTTGTCGACCGTGTAGCAATGAATATAGTCCGGACCCTATGAGTCCTTTTGAATTAATAGAGCGTAGTTCGAGACTCCGGAGAATTTGGATCTGGAGAACGCGGTTGCTATCAGAACGAACAGTCAATCTATATATCAAGCGTGAGCACATTAGTTCAGGAATATTCGAGACCATATGGGAATTAGAATTCATACACCCCAAACAGGTTGCATTTGGTTATATAGCGATTGAGGTTTATACTCTCTTGCATTGCATGAAAATAATTTCAATCTTTATTTACATTAGAGGCAAATCCACGGAACCGTATAATTTCATTTAATTACGTTACATCATTTTTTTTACTATCATAAAAAATTATACAAAAAACTTAAGAAATCTTTGATGTATAATAAGAGAGCAGTAAAAAATAGTGTTCCAAAAACAAAATTACAGTATATACAAATATATATATAAGAATATCGAAATAATTTTATATACACAATGAAATTATTGAGTTTTAGTTGAAATGTAAGGTGTAAACTGAAAGAGTATTATCAAAATATATATATATATATAAAAATTTGAATTGAGATGGGAGACGAAAGCTGCATAAAATCTGTTTTAAAAAATGAGGTTAAAGCGAACGTGTCTTGAATATGGTACCAGTAATAATAAAAATAGAATTCCTTTTTAAATGTACTATATATATATATATATATAATTTTTTTTTCCTTTTCTTCTTTTTCTTAGCAATAAAGATTGCGATGGGTCTAGTAACAAAAGCCATTATATGATAAACAGTTTTACATCTAAAAGTTGAAAATAACTTTCTCATATAAGAATTGATCCAATATTGCTGGGTGGATCACATGTTTATCGCAATATCATAACAGTGGCGAACCAGTAAGGTAACGAGGACTCTTCGAGCTTCCATAAAGAGTGGATTCTTGAAGCGATAACACTAAGCGTTTTATGAACCCTTAAAATCTCCCCCCCCCCACAATTTCCAATCCTATCCAATGTGAGCGTGTGCGCAAAAGATTATCTTTATACTATCGTTAAAAACGATGTGTTTATGTCTAGTGCTGTTGCATAACCTATACACACAACGTGCGCACACCGTTTTGTCACAATATGACAGCAGAACATCCTCTTGAAATCTTGGGAAAATGCCAAACGGGCGAGCAAGCAGGCCTCGATTTTCCCGTAATTGAAGGGCTCAATAAATAATGTCGTACAAAATATATATATATTCTACTAAATAGTGATTCTATTTAGTTTTCTCTTCCTGTATTTAAATTGTGTATACCCCCTCTCTTTCTCTAACACGTTCTATACATATAGAATTTAACCCCTTTTACGTTGTACCCTTTACTTCTTCACAGAAAAAACCTGAATTCAAATTGAGTATAGATTCTATACTCAATTTGATTCGCAACAAAAATGAAACTGGTTGTCTCATTTCGAGTTCTAAGGTAAAAGTATCAAAATGAAACAGGCAAGTTTCATTTTGAGAAAAAGAAAAATGGAAAAATATTGTGAAATAACGAATAATTTTGCACAAAAACATGAAATATAATAATTACAAAGAAGTAAATAACACGCTAGACTTAATATATTTGATTAAAAATTGCTTGTAATCGCGTAATAAAATAATAAAGGAAATATGTTTTTAGGTTAGAAAAATGAAAACATGTGTTTTGACAACAGGAACGGTACTGCCAACTTAAATAATAGCGGTAAATTTAAAAACTTATGAAATTAATTATTATCTACGTAAATAATAATAAATAATTTTTATTTAAAAACTTCTAAATATTCGTACTGGTCAAAATAATCTTTCTAGTGTTGTTGAAATATTAGAAACAATAATTGAAATACAAAATTACTCTGCTTATGATGCCAACTTAGAAATCTGAAATTCCAGCCAATATCATTTTGAATAACATGAAGTTTGTCCCATACTCATTTCGATACCCAAAAGAAAATGAGTTGCAACAAAAATGAGTCCAATTTTTTTCTGTGTTTATATACCTGACCCCTACCCTCTCAAATTCCCATCTTCTTTTCTTCCTCGTTCAACAACCTCTGCTTCTCATCCGTAAATTCGCGGTAAACGAAAACGATCGATGATTCTCGCCGACTTTATTATTTTACTCACACTGAAGGCTGCCAAGACGCAAAATCCGTGAAGCCTCACTTCTAGCAATTACGCCAAGCGCGTCTAAATCACTTTTCTAAAGGTTGTTTATGACTCCGAGCCATTTTCACACGAAACTTCAATATTGTATATTCAAACATTCATTATTTTCAAGTAATACCAATTAGAATGTTTTTTTTATACACTGAGAGAAAAAAATGGTTGCACCCTGAAAAAAGTAAACTCATATTTAGAGGAAAAATCCTCTTCTAATATCCTCTCAATTTTTCCTCTTAAAACAAAAGTATTCCACTTGAATGTAGAATATTTTTATTCTTTGGTGACTAATAATAAAACAAAACAATTTTTTTGAGGTTCTGATGTCAAAAACATTGAATTAAAGTTAAATAAATAAACAAATCTATTAATTAATGTAAGTAATTAACTATAAATCATTAATTATATTTAATATTTAATTAAAGATATTTAATTTAGTGCATGATAATAGCTTTTCTTTATCAGTTTATAACCATAATTGTCAAATTATATGCGAGAGGAAAATCCTTTCAAGTGAAGACTATTACTTTTGATACAATATATAAGAGGAAAATATGTATCAAATTAAGAGGAATTCGCTAGAATCAAGATTACTTTTTTTAGGGTATGGGGTTACCATTTTTAGTTAGTAAACTATACTGCTACTAATTTATTAGTTACCTTACTAACGAAATGGTTAGGTTGACTAACTAAATGGTAACAGTAACTAATATAAATTATCAACAATACTCTTACTAACAAATGGTACTCACAACCAATGGTTTCTCTCAGTGTGTAACTATTTGTTTAGTATATTTATAATATTTAGTTTGACTAAATATTTTTTTGAACTAATCAATGCGAAGTTACACTGAGAGCAACGATTGGTTGCGATATTTAGAATTAAGCGAGAAGTTAAGTAGTTTAAGGGTCAGTTACAACAACTCCGATTAACCCTTGTGTCCACACCCAACTTTTTCTACGTTGTTTCGCACCCAGGGTACCCGGGTACCCACTGCAGCAAAAACTCCATAAAAACTAATCTGACTCTCAGATCTGACTGAAAATGCTTACTCGGGGGTTTTCAGGGTCGCTGATTACGAATCCGACGTCAGATTTTCAAAATTCGAAATATTAAAATTGTTATAAACAAATATATAAATAAATTGTCAATTTAAGCAATAACTTTGATAAATTTTAATGAAACTTCTCACTCGGGGGTTTTTATACTCGCTGATGACAAATCCGACGTCTTTTCTTCAAAATAAGTCCTTTATTAATTTGTTATAAACAAATTATATAAACAAATTGTTAATTTAGGCAAAGACTTTGATGAATTTTAATGAAACTTCTCACTCGGGGATTTTTGGGGTCGCCAATTACGAATCTGAAGTCAGATTTTCAAAATTCAAAATGGCTGATCCAATATGGCTAACGAATTTTTAAAAAATTGTCAGATTCGCTTCAATGTTGTTACTCATGGATTTTCGGTGTTTCTGATTAGGAAACTTAAATCAGATTTTTGTTTAGCTCATTTGTATGTTTGAAATAAGCTTGCAGTAAGAATTATTTGTTTACGGCACCGTAATTGAAGACTGTAAGTTCACTGGAGGCTTATTCTTAGTTTCGCCGTAAACAATCGTGTAGTTGAATATTATGGAGAAGGTGTCGCGAGATGAATTCAGAAAAAACAATCTGACTTCAGATTAGAAATTAGCGACCCTGAAAATCCCTGAGTAACAAAATTGAAACGAAGCTCATCGATTTTTAAAATATTCGTCTACTATATTGGATCCGACATTTTCAATTTGAAAACTATGACTAGATGCGTAATCAGCGACACCAAAACCCTCCGAGTAACCAGTTTCAAGGAAAATTGCGTTCGATATTTGAAATGCACGCCATATTGAATTCGCTATTTTGAATTTTAAAAAACTGACATCGGATTCATAATCAGCGACCCCAAAAACCCCTGAGTGAGAAGTTTCATTAAAATCCTTCAAAGTCTTTGTCTCATTTAACAATTTGTTTATATAATTTGTTTATAAAAAATTAATAATGCACCTATTTTGAAAAACTGACGTCGGATTCGTAATCAGCGACCCCAAAAACCCCCGAGTAATAAATTTCATTAAAATCCAAACGATTTTTAAAAATTCGTACGGAAAATTTATTTATTTATAACAATGTAAATAATTATGCTAAATGAAAATTTAAAATCAAGAACAATCAATTTTTTAGAAATTTGGTAAGGGTTAGTTTCCAAAATGAAATTTTAAAATCGGTTAGGAATTGTTGGCTCTACGTAATTTTGAACGTTACTTTTCAATTTCAATCCACTGTGTTTTTTTTATAATTATTTATTTTATTTATTTATAAAAGAGAAAAATATTCTTAAATATGTCATTTGCTTTTACTTATGTTAAATAACGACGATTCGGAGCGTCGAAGCGATATTTTTATTTTTACTCGAGTTATATGCAAAAATGTATCGTCGTGGGTACCCGGGTGTGAACACAAGGGTTAAAAGTTAATCAGCAATCATGATATTTAGTCAGTCTGACTAAATAAATCAACTTAATTTGTGATAAATAAGGTAAAAATTTCAATTGTTTTTAACCTTAACAAACAATTTTTTTTTTGTAATATTTTCAGAAACTTATCTTGATTACAGTAGAAGTGAAAAAAACCATTTAGCATCGAAAATTAATTAATTGTAGCCTTTGGTAACTAATTTGAGAAATTCTGACCCTATAGACAAATGAAAATGATACACTTAAAAAACAAAGTAATACTAAGACATTTTTCTATTGAAATTTCCTATTCTAAAACCTGTGAGAAGGGCATGAGGAGACAAAGGAAAGGAAGAGAGAGATATAATAAATAATGGATAAAAGAAAGGCGAATGATAGGGACGACAAAAGAATGAGGGAAAAAAATAAAGGAATTAAGACACATAAAGGAGGGATAGTATAAAAACGGAACATAAACAGGAAAATAGAAAAAGCGATAGAGAAATAAAAAGCGAGGCATGGCAGTGAAGATAGTGAAATAAAAAAAATAAATAAAGACCAAAGATATATATATATTCTTGACGAGAGTTTTGTAGTTATATCGATCAATGGAAAATCAAACTAATGATTTTTTTTTCTCTCTTCTTTTTGCTTACAGATTTTCTACAAAGGAATCAGCAACGCACGCTATCGTTGCAGTACACAACACTGATATCAATGGTCAGACGGTGAAGTGTAGTTGGGGTAAGGAAAGTGGAGATCCCAACAATGCTCAACAAACCGGACAGGTAAATATACGAGTTACTTTCCGTACACACACACACACACATATATACAACGTTAGCCAACGACCTTAATCCTTGACGTTAACTCGACTCACGGGAGCACACGATTGTACCCCATTGCCCCTATCGAGGTTTACGATTATCGACCACCATCTTTCCGTTTCCTCTCTTAAGGTAGAGAATCTCAACCCTCGTAAATCGAACTTTGTCAGGGATTCGCTTGCTTTCGCAAAGAAGACTTCCGCCACCTATGGATACGCGATTCTCCTTTTACAATGTTCACTTTCAGTGGCGTGGCGAACACACAATGGGCGAACTCACCAGAATTACATATATATATATATATACAGGGTGATTTATAATATGTGAACAACCTCTTGTCACAGAAAACTAGACAAAATTCTAAGAGGGACTATTTGGTTAAAAATTAAAAAAAAAATTTTTACAAATTTATAAAAATAAAGATATTTTTTACGTTTTTTGGTTATCCGTAATGCATTCCGTGAAAAAACAAATGGATGACTTCCGATTGAAAGAAATGTTGTGATTGGTTAGTTTAAGAGAAAGTCACTAGAAATTTTCTTTTTTTAATTTGAAAATGTAAACAGAAAATGTTTACAAAATTATTAAATTAAAAAATTAAATGTAAAATAAAAAGTGAAGTGAGTGTAGAAAAATAACCTAAAATGGAATACCAAATGTTTTCTTCGATTTGTTTAACTCAAGGTAAGTAGAGAAAAAATAATTTAAAAAAAACATTCCAGGTTAAGTAGGGTTAACTTGTATACATTTTATAGTTAAAAAAAAATTACTAACACCTGAATAAATAATGATTTAAAACTAAATAATAAAAATAAATAAAAAAATTCATCAATTAATTAATAAATTTTATTAAAAAAAATTGATTTTTTTTTTTAAATAATAAAATCACTAATTTTATTAGATTAAAAAAGAAAAATTGATTCTGGAATGAATCTTTTGATTGATTTCAGAATAATTTTTTTGGAACGTCAAAATTTTTGTTAATTTTAATAATTACGTAAATAATTAAAAACTATGAGATTTTCCATTTTTCTATTATTTAATTGAGCGAAAAATTTTTAAAACATTTTTATCATCTTTTTAAATTTAATTAATAATAAAATTCATTAAAAAAAACGTCTGAAAAAAGCTGCCATCTATTGGCGCTTACTGTCAAACAACAAACTTTTCTAATTTTTTTTTGACAAAAAATTTTTTGTATCAAATTTTTAATTTGAAAAATAATGAATTCTCTAATTTTATTGAATTATACAAAAGAAATTGATTCTGGAATCAATTTTTGGATTGATTTCAGAATCAATTTTTTTTTTGCAAAAATTTTTTTTTGTAACGTCAAAATTTTTGTTAATTTTAATAATAACTAAAATAATTAAAAACTGTGAGTTTTTCCAATTCTTTATTAATTAATTAAGCGACAAAATTCAAAGTCATTTTTATTATCTTTTTAAATTTAATTAATAAAAAACGTCTGAAAAAAGCTGCCATCTATTGGCGCTTACTGTCAAACAACAAAATTTTTCTAATTTTTTTTTTGACAAAAAATTTTTTGTATCAAATTTTTAATTTGAAAAATAATGAATTCTCTAATTTTATTTTTTTGCAAAAATTTTTTTTTGTAACGTCAAAATTTTTGTTAATTTTAATAATAACTAAAATAATTAAAAACTGTGAGTATTTCCAATTCTCTATTAATTAATTAAGCGACAAAATTTTTAAAACATTTTTATCATCTTTTTAAATTTAATTAATAATAAAATTCATTAAAAAAAACGTCTGAAAAAAGCTGCCATCTATTGACGCTTACTGTCAAACAACAAAATTTTTCTAATTTATTTTTGACAAAAAATTTTTTGTATCAAATTTTTAATTTGAAAAATAATGAATTCTCTAATTTTTTTTTTTGCAAAAATTTTTTTTTGTAACGTCAAAATTTTTGTTAATTTTAATAATTACGTAAATAATTAAAAACTATAAGTTTTTACATTACTCTATTATTGAATTGAGCGAAAAAATTTTTAAAACATTTTTATCATCTTTTTCCCTGTTGAAAATTCCTATGTGAGAACACATATGGGATCCCATCCAGAATCTCTTGTGAGTTCTTATGTGGGTTCCCATACAGGTTCACACATAAGATCCTGTATGAAAAGGTTCCTGGGATGAACTTGCGTGAGAGCTCGCGCATGATCTTATGTCTCTGTAAAAGCAATAACACAGGATCCCATGAGGTTTCCTGTGTAGGTTCCTATATGAACAACACGATAAATAGGAACACACATGGGATCTTATCCGAGATCTTGTATGAGTTCTTACATAGGTTCTCACATATAAGAAGATTAATAGCAGCTTAATAAGATAAAAAGTCATTATTTTCCTTTCTCTGCGAAAAAAAATTTGTTTTAAATAACCTTCTTTTTAAAATTACTGAAATCTCCCGAACCATGGGCATAAAAATATCATTATTTTCTGTTCCAGGTAAAATAATAATTGTTTTTATTAACCTTCTTTTGAAAATTCCTGAAATCTTCCGAACCATGGACATAAGAAAATCATTATTTTCCATTTCCCAAGAGACAAAACTTACTTTACTTAATCTTCTTTTTCCAATTTCCGAAATCTTCCGAACCATGGGCATAAAAATCATTATTTAACATTCTCTTAAAATAAAAATCGTTTTACAAAACTTTCTTTAAAAAATGAACAAAATCTTCCGTACCATGGGCCCATAAAAATCGGTTTTTTCCAATTCCCAAAACAAAAATTTCTTTACACAACCTTCTTTTGAAAATTTCTGAAATCTTCCAAACCATGGGCGTAAAAATCATTATTTTCCATTTTCTAAAAAATAAAAATTGTTTCACAAAACCTTCTTTTTAAAATTTCCGAAATCTCCCGAACCATGGGCATAAAAAGTCATTATTTTCCTTTCCCTTCGAAAAAAAATTGTTTTAAATAACCTTCTTTTTAAAATTACTGAAATCTCCCGAACCATGGGCATAAAAATATCATTATTTTCTGTTCCCCGTAAAATAATAATTGTTTTTATTAACCTTCTATTGAAAATTCCTGAAATCTTCCGAACCATGGGCATAAGAAAATCATTATTTTCCATTTCCCAAGAAACAAAACTTACTTTACTTAATCTACTTCTTCCAATTTCCGAAATCTTCCGAACCATGGGCATAAAAAATCATTATTTTCCATTCTCTGCGAAATAAAAATTATTTTAAATAACCTTCTTTTTAAAATTACTGAAATCTCCCGAACCATGGGCATAAAAATATCATTATTTTCTGTTCCCCGTAAAATAATAATTGTTTTTAATAACCTTCTATTGAAAATTCCTGAAATCTTCCGAACCATGGGCATAAGAAAATCATTATTTTCCATTTCCCAAGAGACAAAACTTACTTTACTTAATCTTCTTTTTCCAATTTCCGAAATCTCCCGAACCATGGGCATAAGAAAATCATTATTTTCCATTTCCCAAGAAACAAAACTTACTTTACTTAATCTACTTCTTCCAATTTCCGAAATCTTCCGAACCATGGGCCAATAAAAATAAATATTTTTCATTTCCTGAAAAAAACATTGCTTTACATAACCTTATTTTGAAAATTTCCGAAATCTTCCGAACCATGGGCATAAAAAATCATTATTTTCTGTTCCCCGTAAAATAATAATTGTTTTTATTAACCTTCTTTTGAAAATTCCTGAAATCTTCCGAACCATGGGCATAAGAAAATCATTATTTTCCATTTCTCAAGAGACAAAACTTACTTTACTTAATCTTCTTTTTCCAATTTCCGAAATCTCCCGAACCATGGGCATAAAAATATCATTATTTTTTGTTCCCCGTAAAATAATAATTGTTTTTATTAACCTTCTATTGAAAATTCCTGAAATCTTCCGAACCATGGGCATAAGAAAATCATTATTTTCCATTTCCCAAGAGACAAAACTTACTTTACTTAATCTTATTTTTCCAATTTCCGAAATCTTCCGAACCATGGGCATAAAAAATCATTATTTTCCATTCTCTGCGAAATAAAAATTATTTTAAATAACCTTCTTTTTAAAATTACTGAAATCTCCCGAACCATGGGCATAAAAATATCATTATTTTCTGTTCCCCGTAAAATAATAATTGTTTTTATAACCTTCTATTGAAAATTCCTGAAATCTTCCGAACCATGGGCATAAGAAAATCATTATATTCCATTTCCCAAGAGACAAAACTTACTTTACTTAATCTTATTTTTCCAATTTCCGAAATCTTCCGAACCATGGGCCAATAAAAATAAATATTTTTCATTTCCCGAAAAAAACATTGCTTTACATAACCATATTTTGAAAATTTCTGAAATCTTCTGAACCATGGGCATAAAAAATCATTATTTTTCATTTTCTGCGAAATAAAAATTTGTTTTAAATAACCTTCTTTTTAAAATTACTGAAATCTCCCGAACCATGGGCATAAAAATATCATTATTTTCTGTTCCCCGTAAAATAATAATTATTTTTATTAACCTTCTATTAAAAATTCCTGAAATCTTCCGAACCATGGGCATAAGAAAATCATTATTTTCCATTTCCCAAGAGACAAAACTTACCTTACTTAATCTTCTTCTTCCAATTTCCGAAATCTTCCGAACCATGGGCGAATAAAAATAAATCTTTTTCATTTCCCGAAAAAAACATTGCTTTACATAACCTTATTTTAAAAATTTCCGAAATCTTCCGAACCATGGGCATAAAAATCATTATTTAACATTCTCTTAAAATAAAAATTGTTTTACAAAACTTTCTTTCAAAAATGAACAAAATCTTCCGAACCATGGGCCCATAAAAATCGGTTTTTTCCAATTACCAAAAAAAAAATTCTTTACACAACCTTCTTTTTAAAATTACTGAAATCTCCCGAACCATGGGCATAAAAATATCATTATTTTCTGTTCCCC